AAGTGCACTCTGATACAGAATCCCTTAGCCATCACTCTAAGAGGAGGCCCTATGCAGCCTGAATATGAGGGAACTTTGGGGAGAATGGATACATGTGTGTGAATGGAGGAGTCCCACTGCTGTCACCTGAAACTAGGGCAACATTGTTAATTGGCTCTACTCCAATACAAAATAAAAAGTTAAAAAAAATTTTTTTTTTTTTTTTAAGAGGAGGCCCTATGAGGTCTCGCTGTTTTTGTAAAGCTAGGGCTGAGACACAAGACAAAGATGGGCTATTCTGAGACCTGGTCAAGGAAGTTTCTCACCCTGATGTTGAAGCTCCAGTTGTTAATAGAATTAACAGTGAATAAAAGCACCCGTAAAGGGTGACCCTCATTTCACATTGTTTACACTGAGCACTACAACCTTTTGTCTAGTTTCGCAATGTGAATAATGCACATGCTGAATCCCTGGTGCTCCCTGCCCTCTGCCCAGTGTCTGGAATAATGCCTGGTGCAGGTGAGAAGTAAATACTTCCTGCATGAACGATGTGCTCATCTGAGAGATCCGGACAACCAGTGAATCCACAGATATGCCAAGGCTGTCTTGGACCATCCTTCCCCAGCTGGGCCTTGCCCGCCTTGCCTGGTTTTGAAACTCGCTTGTGACAATGAGATAGGTAAGGGCCCAGATGTGGAGGCCAAGCTCCTGAAATGTGCATCAAGGAAAACAAATTAAAAATTGAAAAGGAAAACTGCACAGCCGGTGTCTAGTCTCACTTGAGTCCCATTGTTGCAAGGATAAACATTTGGACAGTTCAAGACAAACACAGCTTCGGGTTCTGAACAGGGAGAGCTGCTTCCCCTTGCACGCTGAGACTGCAATATGAAATCTCTTCCCTGCTCAGAGCAAGGACCTGCCTTCCCTAAAGGAGAGGCCTGCTCTAGAGGTGCCGCCTGTACTCAGAGCTGCCTGCTCTCCGGGCAGTGGGGCTGATCCAGCCTGAGCGCACCACAGCAGCCCAGACCACCTATTCTCCCAAGAGACCTTCGGAAAGCAGCTGGCCTCATAGGCAGTCCAAGGCAAGAAGGCCTCGGTATGCCATGCTAGTCCACAAAAATGTTAAGAGCATCAGAACAAGCAGCCTCAGGACCTAATTGGGCTCAGAGACAGTCATGTCACAGCCAAAGCAACAGGTGACACTGGCTTCAAAAAGGAGGTATTATCTTCAGATGGGAAGTGATGACACAGGAAGGGCACTGGATGGGGAGTCTGGAAGCCTGCAAGTACCAGCCTGGCTCTGTCACTTCACTGCTCTTCCTCGGCCTTGATTTTCTCAGCTGTAAAATGGACATAAATTCACGGATAAGACTGGCTCCGTGGCTTCCTCATTATGCACTCCTATAACAAAATAGGAGCTATGGAACAAATTCAACACTGTCCTTGCCCTTCAACCTGATCCCAACATTTAGGGCTTAGCACAGTGCCTGGCTCCTGAGAGGCTCTCAGTAACATTGTTGTCTGCAGTAGTATCTGACTTTAAAAAGTCTTAAAAAAAAATGATTCCATTGATATGAAATGTCTAAAATATGCAAATCCATAGAGAAGAAAGTACATTAGTAGTTGTTAGGGGCAGGGATAAGGAAATGGAGAGTGACTGTTAAAATAGGGTAAAGGGTTTCCTTTCGGGGTGATGACAATTAGATAGCAGTGAAAATAAGTGAAGCCACTCAGTCATGTCCGACTCTTTGCGACCCCAGAAACTGCAGCCTACCAGGCTCCTCCATCCATGGGATTTTCCAGACAAGGGTACTGGATTGGGCTGCCATTTCCTTCTCCAGGGGATCTTCCCAACCCAAGGATCAAACCTGGGTGTCCCGCACTGCAGACAGATGCTTTAGCATCTGAGCCACCAGGGAAGCCCAGCAGTGAAGATAAACCTCAAAAAAATGGGGGAAAACCCCAATAATAACAAATCAATTAGAAATGGGCAAAATATTTCAATAGACACTTCACTGGACATATACTGATGGCAAATAAAGATATGGAAAGATGCTGATATTTAAACATGGGTAGCCAAGATCTCCAGGGGATCTTCCCCACCAAGGGATCAAACCTGGGTTTCCTATATTGCAGACTGATTCATTACCATCTAAGCCACCAGGGAAGCTCCAAACATAGGGAAATACAAATTAAAACCACACTTAGATATCACTAAACACTGTTTAGAATGCTATAATTCAAAGATGAACTGATAATTACCAAGTACCAGCAAGGATGAAAAACAACCAGAACATTCATACAGTCCTGCTAGGAACAGCTAACTTGATAGTTTCTTATGAACTTAAACTTACCAGAAAACAGAACAATCCAATTCCCAGATATTTACCAAACTGAAATAAAAAGTCATATTCCAATAAAAATCTGAAGTAGAAGTAGAAACAACCCAAGCTGGTAGATGGAAATACAAACTGTGATGCATCCGTAAAATGGATGTTTCCAGTCCAAAGTCCTTAGCTCAGCATTTGAAGACCCAACAAGCTGTCTCCAACCCACGTTCCCAGTCTCACTGCCCCTCATGTGCTTCTGTATTGCCAGCTCCAGCCTCATTTCCTAACATACCATGCCCCTAATCTTCTGCTGCTCCCTCACTGTGGAATCATTTCCTCTCCCTTAACTTTTCAGGATCCTAACCCACATTGCCAAGCTCCACTCAAATACTTTCTATTTTATTAGGCATCCTTCTCAGCTCCTGGCCCACTAAGTAGTCCCTGTTTTCAAGCTTAGCTATGCTTTTATTTTTTATATTGTCTCTATCATGAAATGTGTTCAGTTCACCTTGAAATAGACATTTCAGCTCAAAGGCTTTCCCTCCAATGAAGCCCTGTGAATTCTTCCTTGACTCCCTGCTTCCCCACACTCAGCCTCTCCACCACATACACACTCATGCAATATTAGTATTCAAAGCATTTCTCTTCCCTTCAATACCTTCCAACCATGGTGCGATGGAATTAGGATTATTCATTATTTTTCACAGAGATGATGAAACACCTGGCCTGAAGTTGGTGCTCAGTGTCTCTTAGCTAATGAAGATAGATAGAATGGTCCTAAGTGACCGCACTGAAGCAGCAGGCATCATACTGTGCAACCAAGCTGTCTGCAATTCCCTCACCCTCTCATTGTACTCTCTCATCGTACCTCTCATTGTACTATGCATGTACAATGCACTACTTCCATTTCTACCCAGGTGAATGCACAGACCCAGACTCCAACCTCCTTACATTTCCCACACAGAATCTACTCATATGCAAGTGTGAAAAAATAATAGACTTTACTGAAGCCTCCAGAGGGGAGATGAGGGTGATGGTCACACAACACAACCCACAACAAACCACCTTCAATTCCTCATGAGACATTCAGGGCTGCCTAGGAGAGCCTAAGTCCCACCAACCCAGACCACCCACCTCCATCTTCCTCCACACAGCAACTGGCCTCACCAGTTTCTCTCTCCGCCTTTCCATAATCCCAGCTTTAAGTTTTCCCACTTCTTACCAATAACATAATCTATGACTCCACAACCAGATTCTTCAGAAGGCTCAGCTCCTGGTGGTCCCTCAGTTAACAGAGCCCTGTCCTCCTTGAAGGCTGTTTGGCCACCAGTTTGGTGACTTGAGCATGACATTTAGTGACTTACTACTTCCCTCAAGCAGTGAGTGAGATATTTATCAAAAATATAATGTAGAGTTCTCCCCAAGGATTCTGATGGGTGAAATTTCACCATCTCCCAACATCTGTGCTCACCTTCTCACTGAGTTTTTGCCATGAAACATAAAAAGTGATGGCATCTATCTTTCAGCATCCTTGCCTGATCTCCGACACTCCCTAGCCACTAGGACATCCCCATTCATTCTATGTCTAAGCCAAATGACTCTTGACTGAGCCCCAGCATCAGGACAAGGAAGGACGGTCCATACAAAACAGCTTCCAGAATCACAGGGTGTTATTTAGAACGTCACATCCTTCTCAAGGAAACTCTTGACTCATCAGACCCAAGAAAGCTGGTGGACAGGGCTACCCAGGGAAGAAGCCCAACCATGGCATGAGCCTGGCCTGACCAGGTGACCAACTCATATCTGTTCACCCACAACTTTCCCAGTCTTTGCACCAAAAGAACCATGTCCCAGGTTCCCCAGGCAAATAGGGATTACTGGTCACTTCAGGCTTGTTCCACCCACAATACTTGCCAAGAACCAGGAGTTCATGAAGCTGGTCAATGAAGCCTAGCTCCACACAAGCAGACCAGAGAGAATGCAGTAAGTGCACGGAGAAGAGGAAGGATGAGCCTAGGCTGCAGGTGGGGCTGAGAATAGCCACCTCAGAAATAAGGTCACACAAGCAACGTTCCAAGCATGGGACCAGCAGTGACAGGTGGGCTGCTGCTGAGTTTCATCACCAGCATGACTGAGGGTTTCTACCACGGGCATGATTCTGAGCACATAGGGTGGGATTTCTGAAAATTATGGCGGCCAGAGGACACTAGTAACACCCTCAGAAGGCCACCAAACACACACATGCATGCCTGTACATGCCAAGCACACACACACACTCAGAACTCACTGGATCCCATTTTATACAGCCTCTGCAGAATTCTGAGCACACATTTCTCTGACCCTTTCTTCTCACCAAGACAGTCAAGCTGTAGGTGTGTGTCTGTGTGTGCACTGTGTGTGTGAGAATACACACCTACTCTGCTAGCAGAGGAAATGCTCTACATTCTCCCCAACAGACCCTCTCTGCCCCAGATGCTGGCTCACTCTTGCAAATCCCCCCAGACCACTGGCTCAGATGTGCACAAAGACGCCAGTCTCTCCATGATCCCACGTAAGCACTCACTCTTCACCCGCACCTTGCAACAGCCAGTGGTCTGGAGAAGACGGAGTGAAACACCACATCCCCATAAAGGCAGAGATCGTGGACCAGAGAGCAGGCCTCCTCATGTGAGGAGGGCGCCAGGGACTCACCAGGACTCTGCCGGTCAGCGTCTGGGCAGATATCATCACCCCCGCCCAGTCTTTCACGGAGGTCATCCAGCCGACCTCGGCTGCCACCGCCTCCTCTTTTTCATCCACGGGCTTGAGAGTGCCATCCGCCTGGCTTGAGCCATTGTTAATCTTCTGGGCCTCCTGGCAACAAAGAGAACAAGGATTGAAATGTGGGCACCAAGAGGATTTAAAAAACATATTCTACCCAAAAGAATTAAAGCCAGACGGACCCCTGCTGAGGTGGAACTGGTTTGATGGTACAGAGGTCAGGAAGAAGGGATGGATTATGGCTTTGATTGTTTTTTTCAAATCTTTTTTAAAAAGAATCTTTCCTTTGTTTCCTCTTAAACTATTTTTGTGAAAGAAAGAAAAATGAAATTATTCTCTTCCCATTTTAAAGAAAAAAAAAAATCAAAAAGCTCAGGAGAGAAACCATCCTGCCTAGGATGAGAGTGGCTAGGAAGAAAGTGAAGTCGGCATTCTGTAATCTCCACCTGCCCAGCCTTCATACCCTTCTCACAACTACACCCTATCTTCTGAAGGAAATCTCCATCTTCTCATTCAGTCTGCATGGTTCAAAAGGGACTAAAGGTACACACTGTCTCCAGGAATGGAGACTGGTCAATCAGACCAGTCTATCCCTTTGGCAATAGCAACTGGGGCAAGGATGGTTATGTGAACTATGCCAACCCAATACAACTCAAGCCTGTGATTTTGCTGAAAAGAGTAAGAAAGGTTACCCTTATCTGAGAATGAAGCTAACACAGAGGAAACTAGAAGTGATAGAATACTAATGTCATCATTGGATCCAGCGGTACCTGAAATCCACCACAGACCTTTTTAGACAGGAGACAGTAAATTCCCCTTCATGGCTAAAAATGTGCTTGAGGGAACAAGGCTGACCTCATCAAATAACTGAGCCTCACATGGGGCCCTAAACTGTATGCTTTTGTATGCGCTGTGTCCTCTGCCTAGAATACTCTTCCCCCACCAAGGATCATGGCTTACCCCTCACATCCTTCAAGTCTTTGCTTCACATATTACCTTTTCAATCATTCTTCTCTGGCTACTCTTTCAAAATTCCAACTATCTACTAATGATGCTGCCTTTCTGCCTTATTTTTCTACAATGCACCTAAAACTTGTAACACACTCTGTAATTCTCTTACTTATTTCTTTTCTAGTCTGCATCCTCCAACTGCTGAATCCTGAGTGCCCAACAGAGAGCCTAGTATAAAGCCAGCTTAATAGACATGAACGAAAAAGTAAAAGGGGTTATGAATGTCAGCCCCTCACTAACTCCAGAGCCTGGGCTTATGGGCTGCCAAATAAAATACAGGAAGCCCAGCAAAATTTGCATTTCAAATAAACAACAAATAATTTTTCATTTTAAATATGTAGATTTCAACCCTGAACATTCACTGGAAGGACTGATGCTAAAGCTCCAATAGTTTGTCCACCTGATGCGAAGAGCTGACTCACTGGAAAAGACCCCGATGCTGTGAAAGATTGAGGGTAAGAGGAGAAGGGGGAACAGAGGATGAGGTAGTTGGATGGCATCACCGACTCAATGGACATGAGTTTGAGCGAACTCAGGGAGATAACAAATGACAGGAAAGCCTGGTGTGCTGCAGCTCATGAGGTCGCAAAGAGTCAGACATGACTTAGGGACTGAACAACAACAAAATATTGCATGGGACATACATATACTTAAAACACATTCATTTAAAATTAAATTAAAATTAAAATTTAACTGGGCCCCCTACTCAAATAACCACTGAGATTATTTTTGCAGACATAGATGTTTCAAAAAGACATCAGCAAAATTATGTTCATCATTTAAAATGCTAGAATCCATTAACAAAACAAACTGACCCTGGGGATCATTGTAAGTTGGAGTGAGGAGGAACACCCGAAGGCAGAGGTAGAAATCTTTGTCTGTGGTGAGGGGGTGGAACAGAGGGAGGAAAGGAGAGCTGGAGGCACTGAATGAGTCATCCTCCTGGGGACTTGCAAGCAGGCAGGAAGCTGCTCCTGACGCTTGGTTCTCCCCCGTCAGCCACCCCTGACTCAGGGCGTTGGGAAGACAGACTGAGCATCAGTTACAGCAGGCATTCACGCTTAATTTCCAAGTGAACTGGGCTCCCCAGCACTGGAACAATCCAAAAGGAGCCCGGAGTGGGGCACTGGGTGGGTATATTTGGGGGCTACTTGATGACATCTTTGGAGCCAGCTACCCAAGCCTCCTGAGGCCAATCCCAGTGGCCTGGTTAGGGCCCTGAGTCTTGGCCATATGGAGGCTGCACAGGTGGGTGCCAGGAAGAGGCAGAGACCCTGATCCAGCAGCAACCTTAGTAACCGAAGGTGTAGATTCAGCCACTCTGCCTCACGGGACCTTCTCTGGACGACTGTCTGCCCTATAGGCGTTGCTGGGATTAAACAGTGCCCAATGGCACATGATAGTACGTGTTTTATTAACTAGTCTCACTACCTCCTATGTCTCCTGTAACCACGGACACTCTAGCAGTGGTTCTTAAACTTCAGGAGCATCACCTGGAGAGCTTGTGGAGAAATAGTGCTGAGGGACTTGCCTGGTGGTCCAGCGGCTAAGAGTTCACACTCCCAACACAGAGGGCCTGGGTTCAATCCCTGGTCAGGGAACTAGACCCCACATGCCCCAACTAAAGATCCCTCATGCCACAGTGAAAATGGAAGATCCCTGTGCCACAACTCAGACCCAGTGCAGGTACCGTGCTGGGCCCCACTCCCAAACCCCCATTTCTAACAAGTTCCCAGAAAATGCGGGTGCAGCTGGTCTGGAAACCCCAGGGGGAGGACCACTGCTTCTGATCACTCTGGGCTGACTCGATCATCCCTGCCCTGATATGAACTGAGATGTGCATCTTAACCCCCAGCTTGACCCCAGCTTCTCCCTCTGCCCTCACAGGGAAGAGATCAGGGCAAGGCCCTCAGATCAAAGGCTTTGTGTCTCCTTTTGAGCAGTGCCTCCTAGAGACATTTCTGAACTGGTCCAGGGCCACGACCTGGAGAACTAGCCAGCTCTCTGCTCCTCGATCCTGGGGTACAGACTCCCCAGCCACTGGCTGACTCTGGAGGAGGGAATCAGCATGCAAGATGCTGGGAGGCATGGAGTCCTCCCCAGACACAGTGGTTTCACTGCATCAATAATTCAGAGTACAAGAGGTATATGGCAGATAACGCTCTCTTGCCAGCCCGCTTACCTATTTTACAAGGCATTCATTATTTTAATTACTTTATGATAGGAGAGGAAAAACACAGACTAAAGGGAGATAATAGTCTCATTATTATTTGCTTACACTACATGTTGTGAGCATAATTATGTGTGGGAGACAGGACTTGGGACGGTGGCTGGGGAAGCAGGGAGACGGGAACATCACAAAGCCTGATGCTAGGTCGCCAGGTTAGTTTCCTTGGACTGAAGGGAAATTCCTTCTGCACCTCTGACCTCACTCTGGCCAAAGCACCAAGAGCAAGTATAATCCCTGCTCCAGAGAAAGGGGGCAGAGGCCCAGAGAAGTTAAGTGGCCTTGCTGGGTACATACAGGGGTGGGAGTTGGCAGGAGAGGAATGGTAAGGAGTAGAGTCCAATACAATAGTGATTGACCATCATTCATCAAGCCAGAACTGGGTGCCAGAAACTAAAACTTAAGTGTCTTCTCTGCATTATCTTCCTTAGACCTTATAATAAATCCAACAGGCAGGTGAAATTATCCCCATTTTACAGGCAGGCCAACTGAGAGCAGGCATTTATCAGGGAAAGGTTCACAGAGTCTGAGAACTCCAGCAAACCCATCTGGACTTAGGTCTGCTCTGCCATATACAAGCTGACTACCTCGGGCATGTTAGCCCACAAGCCTCAGCCTTCTCCATTGTAAAATGGGGACTGGCAGGTGGACTCCAGGAAGGTGGTGGCAAAGCATATGTGAGATAAGCAGTGCACAGTGCTTAGCACAGGGCTAGGGGTGTGGTAGTTACAGCTGGCGTGGCTGAGCACCCACTGATGGGACGGGCTGGCTCCAAGGGTATTCAGTGCACTTAAAGCTAAGCCATCAATTGAAGGCCCTGGGAGGGATATCAGACCATAGTGAAAACTTATTAGTTACAGAAGATAAACTAGTATAGGTGCTAACAGCTATGAGGCTTTAACTAGGAAATGAGCCCCCAGGAGATAAGGCACCCAACTTGTGAAGGTTCCAGCAGGAGCTGTGTGGCACTCCCCCAGGACAGCGGGGGCATGGATTCCTACACAGGCAGCCCTGGACATCTCAGATCCCTCTACGGTCCATTAGATCAACCTCCCTTGTGATGAGGAAACTGAGGACCAGAGAGAGGCAGGCCCCTGGGTCCCAGGACCCTGCTCTCTCTCCCGTGCTCCACGACAGGGAACGGGGCTTTGTTCTGAACGGCAGAGTGGGTGTCCTTCCATCCTCACACCTTCCACCTGCTACTGCAGAGAAGGACCCAGTCCCTCTGCCAGGAGGACTCAAGCTGGGCCAGACAGGCTCCCCCTGTTGTCAGGAGTGAGCTGGCCCTGATCCCTGCTCACCCTCCAAGAAGTCATGGTGAGGTGGGGTGGGGTATGATGGGGGTGGTGAACGTGTGTGTAAGAGAGAGAAGGCCACCAGCTACAGGCTCCAGCTACCCTAGCCTCAGAAAGATCATGAGAAATTTTCTAAGAAAAGGGTGCCTTGGAGGGAAGAGAGGAGCAAGGAGGAAGGAGAAGCAAAAAAGAAAACAGACCAGGTAGTGCCTGGGGGTGTCCTGGAAGGTGGCGGTCAGGCCACAGCCACACCCCCCACCCAAGGAAGGGGCTCTATTTTGCCCTGTCTCCCACCAGAGTCTTGTGTAAAAGAAGCCACAGCTTCTGGCCGCAACACAGGACAGTTCTGATCTCAGTGCCTGGACTAGAGGACAGGGTGGGCTGCACGTACAGGAGGCTGGAGGGACCCTGGGCAGCAGAGTAGCTGGCAGCCCCCTGCCATCACACGCCCACACAGGCAGCTCTCAGCTCTCATGGGCTGGGCCTGGGCACACGGCCTCACCCCTCCCATGCCCTCTGTGGCCAACAGCCTGACTGGACCACAATCACCCGCACAACAT